CTCCGTAAGCCATTCGTGTTGTAAGAGGCGACTAAAATGCCGGGAGCAAGGGCCTAGTACCCCCTTCTCCTGTATAAATTACTAAATTTAAAAAGAGAAACTTTGGTTTTTCTTTTGGGGCCACCCTGCCTTGGTGGGATATGGATTGTTTGTTGAAAATAAATAAATAAATAAATAAAAAGAATTAAGAGTGAGACGGAGAGTAGGATAGCAGATGAACAAGGAGGCTTTAGGAAAGGTAGGGGCTGTATAGACCAAGTGTTTACAGTGAAACATATAGGTGAACAGTATTTAGATAAGGGTAAAGAGGTTTTTGTGGCATTTATGGATAGTGAGGCTCAAGTTAGAATATGTAGGAAAGAGGGAGATTACTTCCCAGTAAAAGTAGGTCTTAGATAAGGTTGTGTGATGTCACCGTGGTTGTTCAATATATTTATAGCTGGGGTTGTAAGAGAAGTAAATGCGAGGGATCTTGGCAAGAGGTGTGGAGTTAAAAGATAAAGAATCGCACATAAAGTGGGAGTTGTCACAGTTGCTCTTTGCTGATGACACTGTGCTCTTGGGTGATTCTGAAGAGAAGTTGCAGAGGTTGGTGGATGAATTTGGTAGGGTATGTAAAAGAAGAAAATTGAAAGTGAATATAGGAAAGAGTAAGGTTATGAGGATAAAAAGATTAGGTGTTGAAAGATTGGATATCAGATTGAAGAGAGAGAGTATGGAGGAGGTGAATGTATTCAGATATTTGGGAGTGGACGTGTCAGTGGATGGGTCTATGAAAGATGAGGTGAATCATAGAATTAATGAGGGGAAAAGGGTGAGCAGTGCACTTAGGAGTCTGTGGAGACAAAGAACTTTGTCCTTGGAAGCAAAGAGGGGAATGTATGAGAGTATAGTTTTACCAACGCTCCTGTATGGGTGTGAAGCCTGGGTGATGAATGTTGCAGCGAGGAGAAGGCTGGAGGCAGTGGAGATGTCATGTCTGAGGGTAATGTGTGGTGTGAATATAATGCAGAGAATTCGTAGTTTGGAAGTTAGGAGGAGGTGCGGGATTGCCAAAACTGTTGTCCAGAGGGCTGAGGAAGGGTTGTTGAGGTGGTTCGGACATGTAGAGAGAATGGAGCGAAACAGAATGACTTCAAGAGTGTATCAGTCTGTAGTGGAAGGAAGGCGGGGTAGGGGTCGGCCTAGGAAAGGTTGGAGGGAGGGGATAAAGGAGGTTTTGTGTGCGAGGGGCTTGGACTTCCAGCGGGCATGCGTGAGCGTGTTTGATAGGAGTGAATGGAGACAAATGGTTTTTAATACTTGACGTGCTGTTGGAGTGTGAGCAAAGTAACATTTATGAAGGGATTCAGGGAAACCGGCAGGCCGGACTTGAGTCCTGGAGATGGGAAGTACAGTGCTTGCACTCTGAAGGAGGGGTGTTAATGTTGCAGTTTAAAAACTATAGTGTAAAGCACCCTTCTGGCAAGACAGTGATGGAGTGAATGATGGTGAAAGTTTTTCTTTTTCAGGCCACCCTGCCTTGGTGGGAATCGGCCACTGTGTTGATAAAATAAAATAATAATATGGATTTGGAAATAGGCATATGACAGCGTGGATAGGGGGGCAGTGTGGCAGATGTTGCAGGTGTATGGTATAGGAAGTAGGTTACTGAAAGCAGTGAACAGTTTTTATGAGGATAGTGAGGCTCAGGTTAGAGCGTGTAGGAGAGAGGAAGATTATTTCCCAGTAAAAGCAGGACTTAGACAAGGATGTGTGATGTCACTGTGGTTGTTCAATATATTTATAGATGGGGTTGTAAGAGAAGTGAATGCTAGGGTCTTGGCAAGAGGTGTGGAATTAAAAGATAAAGAATCAAACACAAAGTGGGAGTTGTCACAGTTGCTCTTTGCTGATGACACTGTGCTTTTGGAAGATTTTGAAGAGAAGTTGCAGAGGTTGGTGGATGAATTTGGTAGGCTATGTAAAAGAAGAAAATTAAAAGTGAATATAGGAAAGAGTAAGGTTATGAGGATAACAAAAAGATTAAGTGATGAAAGATTGGATATCAGATTGGAGGGAGAGAGTATGGCGGAGGTGAACATATTCAGATATTTGGGATTGGACGTGTCAGCAGATGAGTCTATGAAGGATGAGGTGAATCTTAGTATTGATGAAGGGAAAAGGGTGAGGAGTCTGTAGAGACAAAGAACTTTGTCCTTGGAAGCAAAGAGGGGAATGTATGAGAGTATAGTTGTACCAACACTCTTGTATGAGTGTGAAGTGTGGGTGATGAATGTTGCAATGAGGAGAAGGTTGGAGGCAGTGTAGATGTCATGTCTCAGGGCAATGTGTGGTGTGAATATAATGCAGAGAATTCGTAGTTTGGAAATTAGGAGAAGGTGTGGGATTACCAAAACTATTATCCAGAGGGCTGAGGAGGGGTTGTTGAGGTGGTTCGGACATATAGAGAGAATGGAACAAAACAGAATGACTTCGAGAGTATATAAATCTGTAGTGGAGGAAAGACAGGGTAGAGGTCGGCCAAGGAGGGGTTGGAGGGAGGGGGTAAAGGAGTTTTTGTGTGCGAGGGGCTTGGACTTCCAGCAAGCCTGCATGAGCGTATTTGATAGTGAATGGAGACAAGTGGTTTTTAATACTTGACATGCTGTTGGAGTGTGAGCAAAGTAACATTTATGAAGGGATTCAGGGAAACCAGCAGGCTGGACTTGAGTCCTGGAGATGGGAAGTACAGTGTCTACACTCTGAAGGAGGGGTGTTAATGTTGCAGTTTTATAGTGTAAAGCCACCCCTCTGGCAAGACAGTGATGGAGTGAATGATGGTGAAAGTTTTTCTTTTTCGGACCACCCTGCCTTGGTGGGAATCGGCTGATGTGTTAATTAAAAAAAAATAGTAGATAACCTAGGTTGTGCCTTAATCATTTAAAGAGGTTGCCCTTTAGAATGTACATTAGCAAGCAAAAGAAAATTGTATCTGGATGTAAGGCAGCTAAGGATTTTCTTAGCAAGTTTCTGTGTATTAATGCATCGAGTGATTTTAAGTTAACCCTTAAATTGTCCAAATGTAGATCTACGTTGTTACTGCTAGCTCTCCAAACGTAGATCAACATTTTATTTTTCCTGCCTCCAAATTTGGCACTGTTGGCCTGGGATGCCTGGTCATTATAGAATGGGTCTTAACACTGTGTGTGCAGTATTAAAATCTGGGACCACTTAGTACCTTGTGGGAGCACCAGTTCAATTGAGGGCCAGCTAGAGCAAACAGCATGGCAAACACCAGGGATTCACTGATGCTGTGTTGTATTAACACTTCCCTTTTAAGAGGAAAGTGATGTTGACCCAGAGTTTAGTGGCTTTGAGATGGATGTGGCCACAAGTGATTGAGAAAATATCAAAAACCTTGATAATAACCATGTGTAACATTTGTGTCACATCCTTTCAATTTTGATACCACTGGTAGTGTCATCCTGCCAGAATGTCCTATAACCTATGCCCTAAGTAAAGAGAAACAATTCTGGAACATGTGTAATACTTGTTTGGCAGGCTGACTGGCTGGATGGCTGACTGGCTGGCTGACTGGCCAACTGGCTGGTTGGGTGGGTGGCTGAGTAGGTGGGTGGCTGGGTGGGCTTGGCTGGCTGGTTGGGCAGGTGGCTGGGTGGGTTTGGCTGGCTGGTTGGGTGAGTGTCTGGCTGGCTGGCTGATTGACTTTGGCTGTCTCTCTGTCTGTCTCTGTCTCTGTCTCTATCTCATAGGTACACATAAATACAATTATACATATTGTAAATTACCTAGGATAACTCAAAAAATGCAGACAAAGTACTGTACTGAGCTTGTAGATATAAGGCATAATAAGCATGACTGGCAAGTAATACGCATTTTCACTTGTTCAGGAATCAGATGTGACGACTCTACATTTTGTGTAATACCTGTTGGTTTGTGAGTGGCTCTCTGAGACAGAGACAAGCAGAGAGAGAGAGAGAGAGGAAGACAAACACACACAGGCAGACAGAAAGACAAATAAGCAGACAGAGCTAGACAGACAGATACAGACAGACAGATAGATACACACAGACAGACATGTTTATGTGTAACAGTGAAAACAAATAGAACCATGGTTCCTTGGAGCAGTGCTTGATCATCAATTGTCACTTCACTGCTGCACTGTCAGCAGTGGAGTGACACTCGTATTACACTGTGCTTCAAGGAGTTTCATATATACTCCAGCATGTCTAAAACATTGCTGGGACCTGTAAATACTTTGTATATAGTATGTGACCAAAACTGGTGAAAATGTTCACCTGTCATTGTGTTTGTGACTATTACAGTACTATTTCAGTACTTAATATTAGTGTCAGAACAAAGATTGGCTATGAAATCACAAAAATTACTGTAAATTGTAATTATCAGAACATAAAAATTACATAATTAAAATAAATATGAGAAAAAAAGGTATATTGGCAACACTTCTGCAAGCAGCAAGACTCCATGTTGCTGTCAGGTGAGCATCCAGCGCCAACTTTGGGGCCTTATATCTCAGCAAGTACTGCCCCTAAATTTTTTTTGTTTTATTACACACAGAAAATTGCCCTCTTTAATTAAAAATAAAATACCAGAATATTTGGAGTGATGGTAGTGAAAACGTAGATCTACGTTTGGACAGTTTGGACAGGGTGAAAGCTGATGCTTTTTATTTTATCATTTTGAGATCCAGACATCTCTACATATATTTTAGTGTTACTTGAAAGTAGAACTGAAATTCTTTTATGGATTTGACTTTAGGAGTATGAGAACAAGGCAAATATCATTGTAGCTGGTTGTATGTGTGGAAAATTGTTTTTACTTATGAGCACCATAACTTAATATTATTAACATATTTTAGAATAAGGTTTTCATATAAGGAAATCCTTTGTAATGCTTTGTTAATAAAGTGTTCTTGTAGTCTGCATTATACATACTTTTTAAATATGATAATCTAACAATTTATTGTATAATTACAGGAAAAGAATGATAAAGCAAATGGTGCAGTTCACAAAACTGATGACCTAGCTGATGATCCAGAAATTGTTGAAGTAAAGTGCAATGAAGATAAGTGCGAACCTTCAAAAGGAAAAGTCCACCCAAAACTTCCAATTTCCAGTACCAGATCAGAAATACGTAAAATTATCCGAAACACTTCACAGTCAACTTTATCTGATTTTTTTGAACAGGAAAAGAAAAATAATAAAAGTGAAAATATAAATACTGATAAGACTAACTGTGTAAAAGAAAATAAATCTAATTCTTTACAAGAAAATGATAAAACAGAAGACATTGTAGAGGAAAACAGTGAAACAAGTATAGCAGCACTGGAGAGAGTAAGTATTTTATATGCTAATTTTTTGTTGGAATGTTGTCACATGAAGATAAGATTTGTTCAGTTTTTCACACCAGAGGGTTAGTCACCAGGATAACCCAAGAAAGTCATTACATCATGAGGGACTGCCTTGTCTCATTTCCATTGGGGTCCTTCAGTTTTGTCCTTCAGGATGTGACACATCAGTCAGCTAACACCCTGGTACCAACTTACTGCTAAATGAACAGGGACAACAGGTACAGTAGGGCCCTGCTTTACAGCATTTCGCTAATATGGACATTTCAAATTATGAACAAAACTCGCTATACAGCTCCCCGCACCTGACTCTCTAATACGGTCATTGTGCACCACAAAGTTTGTTTATATGCTCTGTGAGCACGTCTTTCCATTATGTCTGGAAACTTTCCAAAGTTTCAAGTATTTTAAAGCTATTGCATATTTTATATGCACTCTGATAATTATACTTATGTGTACCTGTACTTAAATAAACTTACACAACGTGCTGACATGCAGGTACACATTAAAATCACTAAGGGTGTCCCTCTAGTCTTGATGCCATATTAATAATAATACAGTGGAACCTCTACTTGTGAGTTTAATGAGTTCCGTGACCATGCTCGCAATTGGATTTGCTAGTTTGCAGAGTCAATTTTCCTCATTTAAATTAAGTGAAATGCAATTAATCTGTTTCTGGCTCTCAGGAGGCTAATAAGATTATTTTATTATTTTTATTAACACATCGGCTGATTCCCACCAAGGCAGGGTGGCCCAAAAAAGAAAAACTTTCATCACCATTCACTCCACCACTGTCTTACCAGAGGGGTGCTTTACACTACAGTTATAAAACTGCAACATTAACACCCCTCCTTCAGAGTGCAGACACTGTACTTCCCATCTCCAGGAATCAAGTCCGGCCTGCCGTTTCATTGATTCCCTTCATAAATGTTACTTTGCTCACACTCCGACAGCACGTCAAGTATTAAAAACCGTTTGTCTCCATTCACTCCTATCAAATATGCTCACACATGCTTGCTGGAAGTCCAAGCCCCTCACACACAAAACCTCCTTTACCCCCTCCCTCCAACCCTTCCTTGGCTGACCCCTACCCTGCCTTTCCTCTACTACAGATTTATACACTCTCAAAGTCATTCTGTTTTGGTCCATTCTCTCTACATGTCTGAACCACCTCAACAACCCTTCCTCAGCCCTCTGGATACTAGTTTTGGTAATCCCACACCACCTAATTTCCAGACTATGAATTTTCTGCATTATATTCACACCACACATTGCCCTCAGACAAGACATCTCCACTGCCTCCAGCCTCCTCCTTATTGCAACATTCATCACCCATGCTTCACACCCATACAAAAGTGTTGGTACAACTGTACTCTCATAGACTCCTTTCTTTGCTTTCACGGACAAAGTTCTTTGTCTCCACAGACTCTGAAGTGCACCACTCGCCCTTTTCCCCTCATCAGTTCTATGACTCACCTTATCCTTCATAGACTCATCTGCTGACACGTTCACTCCTAAATATCTGAATACATTGACTTCCTCCGTACTCTCTCCCTCCAGTCTGATACCCAATCTTTTACCACCTAATCGTTTTGTTTTCCTCATCACCTTACTCTTTCCTTTATTCACTTTTAATTTTCTTTTTTTACATACCCTACCAAATTCATCCTCCAAACTCTGCAACTTCTCTTCAGAATCTCCCAAAAGCACAGTGTCATCAGCAAAGAGGAACTGAGACAACTCCCACTTTGTGTCTGATTCTTTATCTTTTAACTCCACACCTCTTGCCAAGACCCTCGCATTCACTTCTCTTACAACCCCAACTATAAATATATTGAATAACCATGGTGACATGTCACCATGGCTAACAAGATACTTCAATATTTCGCTAATGTCATCTGTACTGCTTTTTTATCTATCACAATTCTTCTAATATAACATAATAAACAATATTAATAATATAGAAACATGATAAATACACTAGAATGAATGAAATATTACGTATGTGAGTAGTGTTAGTGGAGGCGGAGGCACAGCGGCCAATGTTGTTGTTGTTGTGTATAGGGCCACCATGGTGGCCATTGTTCCTCCTGACATACCTTTCCATGCTTTTATTATAACAGAAAATGGAGTGTTTGTAAGGCAAACTCCTTTAGATCACTATGTACATAGTTTCATAAGGAGACAATAGTAATAATAATACGTAAAGAAATTATGTAGTAATACAGCATTTACCTTGGAGATGGAGAAGAGATGCTGGGCACATTGGCATATGCTGTCATTAAATAAGTCCAGTGCACTAGGCATACCTAAGCATACTAGTGGCCTTCTTTGTAATAAGTATTTTATGCACGACCACTTGAAGCTTTCTCTGAGTGATACACTCTTAATCCTATGTCCACTTAATTGCTATACTCTTAATCCTATGTACACTTAATTGCTACAAATTTTATTTAATGATACGTACTTCACTATTCACTGATTTTTGGCTTTTTCTCCACGCTTGTCACACTTTTATCTGCAGAGCATTGCAAGAAAAAACTGTCCAAGGAAGTTTGTTTCTTCCTCCCTTTCAGAATGTTTCGGAAATGACTTATGCAAGCTTCGTTAAGTAGGTCCACTGCACGACCACTTGAAACTTTCTCTGGATGTTTCCTTTCAATAAAGCCTGATAATCCCTCCCAGATCCCCAACATTTCCTTTATCTCACTTGTAGAGATACACTCCTCCATATCTTGCTCCTCCATGGTACGAATGTCCTGCAAAGCCTCCTGATGCTGCTGCTTATGTAGTTCTCCTAACTCCTCCGTCGTCAGCTCCTCGGAGTGCTCCTCAATGAGATCGTTCACATCATCTTCATCCACCTCCATGCCCAAGACCTTTCCAAGGGACACAATCTCCTCCACCACTGGCTCTTCCATGCAGAGGACAAGGTCCTCCTTGTAACACCCTGCCAGGCCATATTTATAATTTTGAGGCATATCACGATGTTATAGTGGTCCTTCCAGAACTCTTGAAGGGTCATGTTTGTGTTCTCTGTCATGTCAAAGCAGGGGCACAACAGGTGCTTGGTGAAGAGCTTCTTAAAATTGGAAATCACGTGCTGGTCCATGGGCTGCAGGATAGGGGTGGTGTTGGGTGGAAGGTAGAGAACCTTTATAAACTTGAACTCTTCGTTTATGTCATCTGTAATGTTTGGTGGGTGAGCAGGTGCATTGTCCAGGATGAGAAGGGCTTGCAGGGATAGGTAATTTTCCTGGAGATACTTCTTAACGGTAGGACCAAAGACCAGGTTTACCCACTTCACAAAGAACTGCCTGGTGACCCATGCCTTTGGGTTTGCCTTTCACATAACGTCCAGTTTTTCTTTTAGAATCTTATGCGACTTAAAGTCTCTGGGGTTTTCCGAATGATATACCAGCAGCGGCTTGATCTTGCAGTCGCCACTCGCATTTGCGCACAGTGCGAGGGTTAACCTGTCCTTTATGGGTTTGTGGCCTGGCATCTTTTTCTCCTCTGCAGTTAGGTTAGTCCTCCTTGGCATCTTCTTCCAGAAGAGCCCTGTCTCGTCACAGTTGAAGACTTGCTTAGGGATGTATTCTTCAGCTGCTATCACTTCTGCGAAAGTTTTGAGAAAATCCTCAGCTGCCTTCACATCAGAGCTCGCTCCCTCACCATGCTTGATGAGAGAGTGAATGCCGATCCTCCTTTTAAACTTTTCGAACCAGCCCTGACTGGCTTTAAATGATGTTTGCGATGCCTTGTCCATTGAATAAAGACAGACACACACAGGCAGACAGAAAGACAGACACACAGGCAGACAGAAAGACATAAGCAGCTAGACAGACAGACAGACATGTTTATGTGTAACAGTGAAACAAATAAACCCAGGGTTCCCTGGAGCAGTGCACAATTGTCAAGTGTCACTCCACAACTGCACTGTCAGCAGTGGAGTGACACTCGTCTTAGACTGTGCTTCAGGGAGTTTCATGTATACTCTGGTGTGTGTAAAACACTGCTGGGACCTATACATACTTTATATATATTTTTAGACAATAGTAAATGACCAAGGCAGGCAAAAATGTACACCTGTTGGTGTGTTTTTGACTATTTGAGTGCTACTTCAGTACCTAATGTTACTGTAAGGATGAAGATTGGCAATGAAATCACAAGAACTACTATAAATTGTAATTATCAGAACATAAAAATTGCATAAATTAAAATAAAAATGAGGAAAAAAGGTATATTGACAACACTTCTGCAAGAAGCAGGACTCCATGTTGCCGTCAGGTGAGCATCCAGTGCCAAATTCGTGGTCTTATATCTCGGTACGTACTGGTCCTAAAACTTTTTTTTTGGTCGTATTTTTTTTGTACTAACGCATTGGCCGTTTCCCACCAAGGCAGGATGGCCTGAAAAAGAAAACTTCCATCATCACTTATTCCATCACTGTCTTGCCAGAGGCGTGCTTACACTACAGTTATAAAACTGCAACATTAACACCCCTCCTTCAGAGTGCTGGCATTGTACTTCCCATCTCCAGGAATCAAGTTCTGCCTGCCGGTTTCCCTGAATCCCTTCATAAATGTTACCTTGCTTACACTCCAACAGCACGTCAAGCCCTAAAGATCGTTTGTCTCCATTTGCTCCTATCTAACACGCTCACGCACTCTTGCTGGAAGTCCAAGCTCCTCGCACACAAAATCTCCTTTACCCCCTCGCTCCAACCTTTCCCAGGCCGACCCCTACCCCGCCTTCCCTCCTCTACAGATTTATACACTCTTGAAGTCATTCTATTTCGTTTCATCCTCTCTACATACCATTAGCACAAGCCCTCAGAATTCTTTGGAGAAAGAGTTTAGATCTAGGTGAAATATCAGAGGCCTTAAAGAGCACAGACATAGCTCCTTTGCCTAAGGGAGGTAGTAGAGCACTAGTTAAAAATTACAGTCCAGTAGCCCTAACTAATCACATCATAAAAATCTT